CAACTTTCCTTTCTTCTCCTATTCTTCATCCAAATGGGCAGCCAAAAGACCGCAACCAAAACCGGCGCTCGAATATGCGTGGTTAATGGTTTTTGAAACTGAAACTGAAATCATCATAGTTATCATAAAATCCGTGTCACTTGCTGCTCTACGTTAGATATTTGCCTAATCTCACACAATTGTGATAGCAGTTGACCTCCAACGGACGGCAGGAAACGCGAAACATCCCTGTCGTTTTCTTTTCGGATTATGGGACTGTCATTCATCTTGGCTATACACTCATGGGCTGCGATACCCGACTCTCTGAACTGACGTTTCAGAACATTTCGAGCTCAACTATAGTGCTCTGAATGATTCAGGATTGTGCAGTAATCGATAAACTCACGGATCATAGTGGCATACTTTGTGATGTTGTTATTGAATCCATGGTAAAATTTCAAGTGATCCAACAGGCTTCTGTTGAAATTTGCATGCCCCAAATAAATAAAATTCCTGACTGCCGATTTATTTGATCGATTTTGTAGATTCCTTTCGGCTTCAAGTTCCATAGTGCACAGTTGCTTGAGCTCACGGTTGCAATGCAACCATCGACTAACCAATTTGCTGCCTCGCTGTACTATTGCGGTCAGGAAAGAATACGGCTCTTTTCACGTTCGCTGCCGTTCACTGGAGGTCGATTGCTATCGCTGATGCATTAGGTGGAACAATTTTCTGTGAATTTGTTTGATACCACTTCCATAGCTTGTAAATTGGATTTCATGGATTCACCATTGTGTTACGTTAGTACAAATATTTCCGGTGACAGACCTCATGTAGCTTACTTAAGTGCGTTATTAGATAACAAAACCACCGCAGTTCAAATTACAGAATAAGTATTGAATGCTCGTTGTAGTGAAATCAGTAAATTCTACAGATGCCGCTCTGAGTAGCCGATATTTTACCCCATCTGTTTTATCATGAAAGTCAACTGTTTTTCACGTGTCATAACAAAGCAGTTCGCTCCGGCTTCTTTCAAAGGTTTTGTAACACCAACGATCAAAAGTGATTTTCAGTATTACAGTGGCAAGCTTGGATTTACCCATTGGGTTGTCAAAAGACACCAGGCACTCTTAATGGTCTTGGGTGTGGGTTTCACTCCTTGGGAGATCGTTAATTCCCCATAAGTTCATGCACTTATATGCGACGGAAATGTTTGGACAGCTGTTTCGTCCTGTTTGGGACTCACCAGCAGTACGTACGTTTTGTGTCCCTGTCAGGACTCGAACCGCGAACTTTCGGATTGGGACTTCAAACTCTTACCCCTGACCTATACGACCGTATCGTTTTCATCATGTTTTAATTAAGACATTTAAGTATAATCAATTTGGTCCCTGTTGGTGAAAGGTGATGCACAGAGAGGAAAGCAATGAATTTGTATAAAAATTGAGCCCCGAAGTGATCAATATGTCTTCGTTACACTTAGACGTGATGTACACGATGCGGTACGTTCACTGTGTAACACATCCGGTTTCCGAAAACTGATGAACGCACAGATTTCTCAGTTAGAATGTGTCGTTGAACGCCCTTACTTTGTTCCCTTTTTGTCTTCAGTGATTTAAAGCCCGAGAACTTTGCGATCGAACGCAGTGGACACTTGAAACTGTTGGATTTTGGATCTGCTATTCGCCTCGACGCCGATGGCAGGGTACGTCCCCATGGGACAGACGGTCTGTGATACATGTGTTTTTATGTCATATACCATTAGTTGTAATAGCGTAATGGATTACCGTTACCTAATGTTTTTTCAAACGCATTCCAACAAAAATGACAATTTTGCCTGTGTGTGATAAACGTTATTCGTTATTCATTCGTTCAAAATCTAATCAAATACAGAGAAACTGGCAAAAGTCCCACAAAGCATTGGCTGTTCATATATTTTGAGACTATTCTTCCCGGTTGCATTCGCCAGAGAATGGTGATTACTTTGTAGTTTCCCTTGACTGGGAATTAAGAATTTCAAGGCTGCAGTGCAGAGCTCAGAGTCCGAAATCTTTTGGGGACCGGTGTTCAGTTCATCGGATCATTTCGTACGCCAGAGGTGCCCAATATCCCGTTCGATAATCAGGTCTGGTTATTTTGGATTAAAGCTTTTTTACCAACTCATCTAGATAAACTACTGATGGCTGATCGAATCGATGAGAGTGGCGGGTTTTGGTCTCTCACTTCGATAGAAACACGCCCGCTATATGAAGGCAGTAAGTAAAGCTTACTCAACTGAGATTATTTGAGAAGCTTGGACGTAAAGGATGACCAGTTGCAACCCACCACACCTATCTCAGAGCATACCAAGACTTTTGGAAGTAGGATTGCAAGTGATTTTTCTAAATAAATCGTTTTATTTCACAACCCGGTTCTATCCATTGTTTCCATAGTAGATCTTTATCACATTAACCACATACACCAGTCATTAAATAACCGGAAATTAGTATAGCATGTTGTGGGATAATGTGTTTAAATGCTCGTTATTCTCTATTATCATTTTCACGCCTACTTTATCATCCTCCTCACCTGTACAATAAGTGTATTTGTCCAACCATGGTCGGGACAAAGGAGTATCTGAACATTGAATTGCTCCGACAACGGGGCCGACATAATGAGGAGCCTCTGCTTGTCGGACCGGAATATGACTATTGGGCAATAGGTGTTCTTCTGTATGAATTGTTCTACGGCCAGACTCCATTCTTTGACGAAGACGATGAAGTAATGATGCAGAAAATCATGGATTACAAGGTAAGGATTCCCTTTTGCTCCGCTCTCATTTACCCGTTGTTCCTCTCAGAAAAGCCTGAAATTCCCTTCAGGCGTTGACATTCCCGATGAAGTGGTTCAGCTTATTCGATCTCTGATCACTACACCATCGAAACGATTGACCTACGAGGGTGTGGTGCGTCATTCGTTCTTCAAAAATATTGATTTCAGTCGCCTCAGACAAAGTAAGTCCTGCTTTTGTCAGTAGACATGCTTCGTTTATGCATCATTTGGTCACTGTTTTATTCATCCTTATCTTTTTTGTCTTCCTCTTTTCAAATAACTAGCTCAGCCACCGTATTTACCTCCTGTGGGAGATCAAGACGATGTGTCCAATTTTTCCGGCGGAGGTGCCCGTACTCGGGACGAGGCTATCCTAGATGTATCTACTAACGAAACTTTCTCACCCGTCCGAATGAAAAAGTCATGTCCGGGCTCCGTCTGTCGTTCCGTCAATGAAGCGCGAAATTCACCACGAATTAGTCAACCACCAACAGATCCGAGCGTATCTCGCCCCGTATTCGAGATCAGTCCAGTTTTGGATCCTGAAAATCGCGAAAATATTGACCCAACCTGCCACACAGAATCTCCATCCCGACCAGCCAAATCACCTGCCGAACTCACTGCCCGCGAGGTTAAAGAGCGCGCAATACGCGATGCTGCAGCTGTACCGGTGCATGAGGAAATAGAGGAAATAGAAGACATTGAATGGCATGGGTCAGAATGTGTACGAAATCTACCATTTGTCGGTTACACATTCACACCCGGTCTAGTGTTGTTGCGTAACTTTACCCGAGGACAAACGGCTGCTTCAGTAGCTGCTGGTCTGGGTACATCCATGATGATCACCGCTGGGTGAGTGGCATTTGCGCTAATTAACGGTTGTTAATCCTAGTATCTGGTTTTTCAACTACATTTACACAACTTTCTCACCGTTCATGTCAGATTATCATCGGAGTATCGCGAACGGAATCTAGTGGTGAACGATCCACAGCTGTCATGAAAATTACTTATGATAGCATATAAATGTATTTTAGTTTCAACAAATTAGGTTATCGATTTTGCGTTGGAACGCTAATCATAAGTGGTGTTTGGAACGAAGTCAGTAGAATCCCCTAAACACACTTGCCGGATCAACCTATGTAATTTCGCTTCTCTTTCTGTTGTTCTGTTTTTATCGTCGTTAGTACTCCTTTTCGATCCGCCGCACCAATGACTCGAGCCAAATATGGTGTCTCCAAAACGTCTGGATGTTCGACTCCGACCATTATCAATGCATCATCAGTTGATCAATCTGCTCGTGACCCTATCAAATTGACCGAAACAAATGATAAGGCGGAGTTGCTGATCAAATTGTCTTCTTTGGAACAACGAAACGAGCAGCTCGAGCGTCTGTTAGCACAACAGACTGAGCGAACAGAGGTATGCGGTTCATTAATTGGTTCTTTTGTATTGCTCTTGTCCTATCGCTCCATCAGGCCATCATTACTGAGTTAGCTCCCTTTGCACTATACTGAAATTTAATTAGACTGTAGTTTCTGATGGTTCCTTGATATAGATGGCATTATTTTAGCATCATTCTGTTGTCAGACTAGTCCTTATCTGTCCTCCAGTCTTTCATGATTATTCAGAAGTATTTTTCTATAAAATTCCCACGGAACAGTCAAGTAATGTTATTGTTATTGTCTTTTAATGAATTTCTATATCCTTTCGATTACTTATCGTCTGCGGTTTGGTCTGCGTATTTTTTTTTCAAATAACGTATCCGTGTAAGATTAGTGAAATCCATATGCTCCCAGATGGCAAGTTATCTGCAGCACGCAAATAACCTTGTACTGTTAAATCAAGATCCAAGTGACTGACAAGCCTTCCTGGATGGTTGGACTGTAGCTTTGTTCGACCTATGACTTGTAAACTTTTGTTTCTTTCTTTTCATTTCACTTCCTTGTATTGAATATACAAAGACACCATTTTCAGGAACGGGGAAGCGGCCAATCAAAGGGTTTCCATTCAATACAATAGCCAAAGTCAGGCGGTGGTGGTGCGATTCGAACACATCCCCGGGGTGATAACTTGGTGACTTTACCACCGCCCACAGGGTGAGGGTAATTCATCCTCTAACCTGACTGACAATAGGTCACTTTTAGTAGTTAGCTCTTTCTTCCGTGGCGTGTAAATCTCGGAAA